TTCCCGCCCCCTCCCCTATTACCGCCTTCCCACACGACTTCTCGCCCTTCAATCCTTCCTCTCGATTCCATCCTCTCCCACTTCCCATCTACGACCCCGCCCCCATACTTACACATCTACGATCCCCCCACCCCTACTTACACATCTACAACCCCCTCCCTACTTACACACTACGTTCCTTTCCCGTTAGGCAGGAGAACTAAACATGCTATAACATAGGGGGTGTTATAGGTTGTATTACGTGTGTATCAGCCGTTATCTGATAAAGTCAATAGTTCAACTTGTATACACAGCAAATAGACGCGGGATACCAGTGTGAATACCCTTATAACGCCGTAAACATTCCACATGTAGCTGTCGTAATAACAAGACCTGATCAATCTGTATATAGTGGGACATCAGTGTGAATACCCTTGTTACGCCGTAAACATTCCACATGTATCTGTCGTAATAACAAGACCTGATCAATCTGTATATAGTGGGATACCAGTGTGAATACCCTTGTTACGCCGTAAACATTCCACATGTATCTGTCGTAATAACAAGACCTGATCAAGCTGTATATAGTGGGACATCAGTGTGAATACCCTTATAACGCCGTAAACATTCCACATGTAGCTGTCGTAATAACAAGACCTGATCAATCTGTATATAGTGGGATACCAGTGTGAATACCCTTGTTACGCCGTAAACATTCCACATGTATCTGTCGTAATAACAAGACCTGATCAAGCTGTATATAGTGGGACATCAGTGTGAATACCCTTATAACGCCGTAAACATTCCACATGTAGCTGTCGTAATAACAAGACCTGATCAAGCTGTATATAGTGGGATACCAGTGTGAATACCCTTGTTACGCCGTAAACATTCCACATGTATCTGTCGTAATAACAAGACCTGATCAAGCTGTATATAGTGGGACATCAGTGTGAATACCCTTATAACGCCGTAAACATTCCACATGTAGCTGTCGTAATAACAAGACCTGATCAAGCTGTATATAGTGGGATACCAGTGTGAATACCCTTGTTACGCCGTAAACATTCCACATGTATCTGTCGTAATAACAAGACCTGATCAAGCTGTATATAGTGGGACATCAGTGTGAATACCCTTATAACGCCGTAAACATTCCACATGTAGCTGTCGTAATAACAAGACCTGATCAAGCTGTATATAGTGGGATACCAGTGTGAATACCCTTGTTACGCCGTAAACATTCCACATGTATCTGTCGTAATAACAAGACCTGATCAAGCTGTATATAGTGGGACATCAGTGTGAATACCCTTATAACGCCGTAAACATTCCACATGTAGCTGTCGTAATAACAAGACCTGATCAAGCTGTATATAGTGGGATACCAGTGTGAATACCCTTGTTACGCCGTAAACATTCCACATGTATCTGTCGTAATAACAAGACCTGATCAAGCTGTATATAGTGGGACATCAGTGTGAATACCCTTATAACGCCGTAAACATTCCACATG